TTTTTGGACTTTATCAACCCAAACTATTTTTACTATAACGAAGACTCGATAACTCCTACTTTGACTTTGATTACAACTCGAAAAATCCCTAATACAATTCAACTAAACCAATATTTTGACTAAAGAATTGTCAATTTGCTAATTGTATAATTCGGACCTAACACAATTATTTACGCTTGTAGACATAGAACCAAGGAATAATGTATATGAACGTGGCACATAGCATTACAATGCACGTTGCAGTCTATTGTTATCTTAGCGTAAATAAATGTCATGGTTTTCCGGCTAACAACCTTTTTTCTTAAAAAAAAGTTATTTTGATGGCATCCATCAGAAGAAAAGTACTACAAGTAGCTGACCACATTTGTAGAAGATTTTGTGTTAGCACATACGTGCAAATATAGACACGTTGTGTGCACACAAATACACATCCAATGACCCCTTTACATCATCAATAATTTGAATTGTTTCGTATTAAAAAAGAAAAATAAATTACAATTTTAAATATCGAACATGCACTAAGAGCTTGTTTTGTATTGTTCTTGATGAGGTTGAGAAGCGGTGATTAAAGAGCAACTTCATGGCTGCTTCTGTCCTCTAATGATGAAAAGAACAATTATTTTGGATTTTATAAAAAATAATTTATGTTGTCTAATTCCCCCAGTATGGTTAGGTGAGCTAGAAGAAGTGTCCAAAAAAGGAGACATGGACAAAAAAGTAGTTTAATAATGTTCATTCACACTTCAAGTTTGAAGATGATTAAAGTTTCTCATAAATTGAGTCCTAATTTGTTCAACATCTACTCAAGCTTTTGAACTCAAGGTTTATTTCATTTTCTTGAGGAAAAGTTATTCGAAACGGTTATGCTAAAATTTGAAAACTAAATATTTGCACGTTGTTGGAGAAGCTCTAAATTTAAACACGATTTATTTGTGTTGAGATTGGTTGACTGAACACACACATGGAGGGTCGGCATTATTTAATTCACGCGAGACCCACGATGCAATGTGAGGATCGATCAACTGAGATGGCACCAAATTCGGGCAAAGTGGTTTTACTCTTGAAACTTATAATTATCCTCTAAAGTAAACTGTGACTTACGTGACAAAATGTAAATCGACGCCTCTGGTTTCTATAATTAGTCAAACATGGTTTCTTGTTTTACATAATCTATTAAGCACGAGCCCTCGACATTTCTCAATGCCAACACAACTTAGCTTAATATTTATAGATTAACACATTAGATTATGCCGTATATTGTAAGTTGCTAATATATTATTATTTGATTTCAAGAAAAGTTTTTCCGATTGAAAGTTATATTCATAATCCATTAAAATTTTAAAGCTAACCTTATCATTTAAGCATTCCAATCGTGACAGCAATAATATTAATTCTGATTTTAATTCGGTTTGACTAAAATATAATTAAATAATTCTCAAACCAAAAAATATCATATCTGTAGCATAAATATTTAAGATCTTGTTGAATATTACAATATTAAAATTAAAAAAAAAAAAACCAACATAATATTCCGTTTCAATTTAACCCTGAGGAGTTGCTCAATTGATCAGACTTTGGATTTGCTTCTCAATGGTCACCGTTCGAGTCCCCTTAGAACCACTGAGGTAAATACTCGACCGTGAACTTCATGGCCCCGTAGAATTAATCGAAATGGGCGCAAATTTCAATTTGCTCATAGTAGCCACGCAAAAAATTCTGAATTAATTTACCTAGTGTATTGCCTGACAGCCTATTTCTTCTCAAAATTATGCCCATCTAATCTTACAACAACTAATTAACAACTCCAGTCACTTCGATTTGTATAAAAAGACAATTGTTTCTCCCTTTTCTCTTTCCTTGTCCCCCCAGAATTGCGCTGATTATTCCAAGCCCTTTACACTGTGCTTTAGATTATTGACTCACTCACATTAAAAAATTCAAGATTTTTGTATTCTATGGAATTTTGGACACATCCGCGTTGTAAGTAAATGATACTATAAAATTATATAATGCCGCGTTAGACCGGCTAAACCATCTATCATTTTCCATTCTTGCACCACCACCTTAAAAATCATTGCCTCCCTCCTCTCCACAGAAGAGTTCATAAACAAACTTTTCATCTGCTGTTGTCGTTGCCCTAGATAAACTACTCACCTCACGGTGTCTTTCCTTCTTTAGAAGAAAGAGTGGCCTTTCTAAAATGGATTGCGACGGAGTGGGGATTAAAAGATGTTATGGAGTAAAGGGATTTCGAATAAACTCGAGAAGATTTTCAGTCGGGAGGATACGCAGAAAATTTCTGTATTTGTTCAGACTTTTGGGAAGATGGAGATGTTCATATTCGAATGCTTTGCGCTCGTTGAAGAGAAATATAATTACAAGAAGAAGGAGAAGAAGAAGAAACAACATCAGTATGGAATTGCCTTACTCCTCTCATGGTTATAGCACTGATCATCATCAGTACAGGTTTAGAACACTTGCACACTCAAATTCATTTTGCTCTGAAGCTATTGCTGATTGCTTGGATTTTATCAAGAGGAATTCTATTTCTATGGATGAGTATAAACCAATGCTCAACAGAATATAATATGTCCAACAAAGTTTTGTAAATAATTAGACAGCAAAGCTTTTTTTTTTTGGATTGTATTCTATTTTTGTTGAGATTATCAAGGAAAAAATTTGAATTAATGATTAGTACTATATATATTTCCTTGTTCTATCCATTTTCTTGCACAGAGTTCTGTTTTGTCTTTCTGCTGCTTCTTCATGTCTGAAGATGGCAATATTGACTTCTTTGCAAAAATAAAATAAAAATTCAAGAGAATATTAAACTTTTATACTGTTTTGCATTTGATGATTTGAAAAGTACTTTATAATTAATTAATTAGTTGTAATTATATGATGAAAGGTGTC